AATCTTATTAAATTATCTAAGTAATTCTGAAAATGGAGGATTACAAAAAATTACGAAAAATCAAAAATGTTTAAAATGTGTTAATCATTATCGGAATATTAATTAAATTAATTAAAAATATCGTTTAAAGATGGTTATGGTTATGAATATTTTGATTGTGTTTTTGTTGATGTTTGTTAGAAGTTTGGACTGCGTGCGTGACTTTCCGAGTCTTAAGAAGCCTTACAATTTGACGATAGTAATAGAAATAAATTATTAGTAGAAATTACTAATTATTTCAGGTCAAATATCCTTGTCCGAACTGCGCATCATGGTGCGAAAATCTGCCATATTACACGTGTAATTATTCTTGCCATAGTATTGAGTATGAAGGAAATTTTGATAATATTTATCGACTACATGGTAAAATTTATGCTAATAAACAGTAGAATTTTAAGCATTTATATTAAAAAAAATTAGTCAAATCTGGTTTTTAGTCAAATTAGTCAAACCTTATAATTAAAACCATGCAGAAGATTAGGGATTGAACTATAGAAAATCCATTAGGGAAAATTCGTATACACAATGAGGGTATATAAAAACGAGAGTCAACTATACATGGTGGGAATCAGGATTCATGTCACATTTGAATTTTAATTTAAGATATTGGTAAAAATCTCATTACCGGACTTGTCATTATGAATTTAAATGAAACATACGGTAATATATCATTTTTATCATTAACTTATCGGTATTTTGTTAAATTAAGATAAAAGTAAACTTGAACATCGCCTTATTGTTGCACAAGAACATTTGGGTAATATTGCATTTTTATAATTAACTTATTGATATTGTTCATTAATAATAACATTACCAATAATACTAATTATAATTTAGATAAATATAGTAAAATAAATGCTCGGAATTACAGGTTAGTGCACTAAAATTAACCAAATAAAATTTTTGACAAAGTATTTCCTTTATGCTTCTAATTGGTCATTGTTATTCAAAAAATAAAAATTCATTCCCTTCAATTAATTTCTAAATATTATCTAACATAAAAAACGTTTAGTCCTTGGAAAAAATTTTCGCCCGCGGCACCATTAAGGAAGAAATCAGGCTTCATGATCTAACAAGATTCTTTGGATTTGAAACACTAATAGGCGTAAACTAAAGTGGATTTGAAGGGATCACCTTCAAATCTAGAATCCTTCAATATCCTTTTAAATAACTGATATCCCTTTAAACACCCCTTAATCTCCCTAATAACTTATATCGCCAGATATGCCATTAATCCATTCAATACCCATTATATCACCAGATATACCCTTCGAATTTATCAAAACCATTTAATCCCACCTTATTCTCCATAATTTTTAAATAGATTAGCGGAAATGTTTGAGCATTTTTCTTTAAAAATTTTTTCCTTGACCTCCGTACCCCGACCCCGTCCTAATTTGCTCCCCGACCCCGAACCCCGCCCCAAAACAATTCGAAAACACCCGTACCCCGATACGCCCGCCCCCGAGCGTTTGGGGTGCAACCCTACTTTGAATCAGGGTTGCGTCGTAATTACGAATTACGAATTACGGCGTTTTTTCCGTTACGAATTACGAAAATTTTTTTTAAATTACGAATTACGATTACGAAAAAAAATTTTCGATTACGACGCAGCTCTGCTTTGAATATATTTTTTCTTATATGTAAATTATTTACTTAATTTATATACCTAATTTAGTTTTGAAGTGCTTTTCCGTATTATTCAAAGGGGATCACAAGAAAATGAAAAAAATATTGAGGAATTTTGTGCCGATATTAATACATATAACTGCAGATTTAATATGAAATATGTCTATCCCGTGTAAGTTTAAACTAAATTTTATTAAATAACTTGGATTTGTTAAATTTAAATGTATTATATGTATTTAAGTAAAGGCAGTTTAAATATACCTATTTACTAGTGACCAGCGCCGGAACGGATCCGGCCGGATTTTTCAGGCATCGATTTTGCCGTTCACTACTATTTACATTGAATTTTTGAAATATTGATAATCTTGTTATATCCTAAAAAACTTTTGCTTGGTTATACCACAAAAAATTAAGAAGCCAAAGTTCTTGGATTTATTGATAAAAACAAAAGAACAATTAAATCCCAGAAAAGTAAAATTTAACAATTTTTTTAGATGTACACTCGATTTTGAGCCATATGAAGATGGCATGAATGAGTAAGTAAATTTAAATTATTTGATTTTTATTTAAGGAACAAAGGTATCTACTGTTAATTTTGAATACGAAAATTGTCTAACAAAAACTTTTAGAATTATTAATAAATTTTTTACTTTCAGTTGTTGTCAAAAATTTAAAAAATGCATACAAAACAGAATACCTACGATCAGAGAATAGTTAAATTTCATAAAAATTATTTAAATAGTTTTAATATTTTAGCGAGTGTGGTGATGGAGACAAATCTATTCAGCCTCATTATATTATGAAATATCCGACAGAAAATCCTAAATATTGGGCATTTTACGGTAATGAAACTGCTAAAATATCATTGGACTCCTGTACTATGTAAGTTAATACGTTTATTATTAAATTATTGAACCATCTAAAATTAAAAATAGTAAATTAATATATAGATTTACAAAGATACAATATACCTGACCTTTCCATAGATACGGATTTGCTTTCAGGATATATCCGTTAGGCCTATAGCTTATAACGGTAAATCATTTTCGTTATGAAAAATAGATAGGAACCTGCAGAACAGCTAGCAATGAAGAATAAAATTGGCAATTCGTGTAAGTCCTGGCATTCTTTTCTCATTATTTTTTCAAACTTTTTCTGGACCTTGATATTCCTTTGTCAAACATAGCTTTGTCAGAAACAAACAATTGTTGTTAAGCAGTATTATATCCGGATATTATCCGTATCCATGGACAGGTCTGCAATAAACTCAAAATTTTCTGAATATTTTTCTCAATTCCTTTCTATATATGTATTTATGAAGTCTATTATATATGCACTCACAAATACTTTCATTTTCTATTAAATAAGCTCATTTTTTTAATTTTCTTTTAAAATTAACTCTTTCATTTATTAAAACTAAATTGTCCTCTAAAAAGGCAATGTACCAACGGTAGACTTGTACCTAATCATCGTTCCCAAACCTCTCCACAAACGACTCAAAAAACAACACTTTCGTCCAGTATTTCAATCAGTAAATTAACAACCACAATAATTCCAATTCCAAAAACTTTAACGCCCAATTTAACAGCAAAAGTCTATAAAAATTCTGCTTTTTCCCAAGGCAAGAAGGGTTTTCGAATTCAAAATTTAAAAAACAAATTTAAGTAATCGTAGGATTCCTCGAAATTAATTTCGTGGTTGTTGGGGCAGCTATAATTGCGGTAATTGCAGTATTGTTCTGAAAGTCGTTGGTACATGTGCCTGAGTTTTTGGGAAAAGAATTTCCGGAAAAAAGAATTTAATAAATAAATATATTTTTCTATCATATAATCGCCTTTTATACATATGTATATTTATATAAATTCTATACAATCTATAAATCGTAAAAATTAATCTTCTCTTTATTTCTAAATTCAGAATATTATTTAGTATAATAAGCTCATAAAATCAAATCCAATTTCTGATACCAGAAAAATAAACACATTACAATAGTTTATGAGAAACTTGAATCCCAATGAAAAAGATGAAAAAAATTTTTTCTTGTTCCCATTGATCCCTGATTTACAATAGAAATTTAATATATAGGTAGATTAGATTAGATCTCAGTTAAATCACATAAAGTTTAGATCCCATAGTAGATCCCATAAACAATAAATAGAGAAATGTCCAGTTCTATAATAGGGAAGTGTCGGATTACTTGGAACCTGAATTTTTTCAACACTAAACCCAATCCTAAAAAATTCTGTTAAATCAACTCGGCCTTTTTTCGCCCCCTCCCCCACTCATGCAAGATTTACAGTAAAAACTTGTTTTAAATCTCACTTCAAGCTTTAATTTCATTAATAATTTATTATTAATATAAAATAAGATTTCATCTTCTCTTTACCAAAAAATTCAGCCAAACAAAAATTCTTTGCAATTTTTTAATTGAACAAAAAAGTCGTTCTATTAATCTTGAATTTAGACTTTTATGATATCCGCGTCACATTCTGATCTTTGCTAATTTCTAGAATGTAATTAAACTGTTTTTAAATCTCTTGAACTCGGTTGTTAAACCGTTTCTAAAAACTTCAGCAATTTTCCCCCAGGGATGGACCATCCTAAAAAATTCTTTAGCAAGGGTTTATTCAATTTACTTAACTAAAACTATGATTATTAAAAATTCGTAATAATTAATGTACATATATATCTCATTAAAATATAGGAAATGTGTGAATAAACGGTTACAATTTGACGCTCAAAGGGCATTCGACAAAGTAAATAAAGACAACAAAGAACAGGATAAAAAAATAAAGGACGTAGAAAAGGATAACTTAAAACAAGATTCGAAAATAAACGAGACAGAAGTTAAAAATGTGGAACAGGACAAGAAGATAGAGAAGCTAGACATTAGAGTGAGATAATTTTTAACTAAAAATTGGTTCATATTTTTGGGCTCATTCGATCAAAAGGAAAAATTTTCGAAGAAAAAATTTATGAACAATTTTTCTCTCATATGTATATATTGAGAGAAAAATAGCTAGATCCCAAATAGCTAGATTAAAAATACATTTTGAGAAAAAATCACAAGGTCAATTAAACCTTGTAAATTTTTTTATTAAAAAAATTTACGATAATTCTCTCATATTAGGGAATAAAATCTCCGTAAAGAAAAAAATTATGGATATTAGAAATTTTTAAAAATCAATCAGAAAGTTATAAATATCCTTCTTAATTTCAATTTTCAAATGCAAAAATTTTTAAAACCATAGATATGCTTTTTCTTTTATTACCTTTATCCTGCCTGTTCACATAACTTAAATTTTACATAATAAATTCAAAAATAAATTCAGTTTGGTGATGAAATTAAAAAGCGGATTGAATTGGAGAAGAAACTTGCCGCCTTAATGGAACGTGTGGATCGTAAACAAAAAAAAGATGATGAAGAAGATGAGAAAACTAGGAAAGAAATCGAAAAAATTAAAAAGGACATGGATGTTATAAAATTTGATGTGCAGATGTTGAAAAACTGGAGGGCAACGGTCGAAAAGCAGAAGGAGGAGGCGCGAGAGCAAGCGCAAGAAGATCAAGGTTGTGGTGGAGACGGGGCTAAGAAAGGAAAAGCTAAAGGTGGAAAAGGCCTTGATGGAATGATTAAGGGTGGAATTGATAGCAAAGTCGACGGTAAATTTTTATTTGAAATAAGAAACCGATAGTGGATAATTAGTTAGTGGATACCTTAATAATTTACTTATAATTAGTTTTTTATTTGCGGACTGCGGATTACGGCTGCGGATTTTATAGTTAAAATTGCGAATTGGGCTTCGGAAATTTTTCCCATTGTGTCCAATCTTTGTCAGAGACTATCTTCGAATGTCGAGGAGTTTTTTCCACCCAAATTCTTTTAATCTCCAAATTCACTGATATCCCTATTAATCGCTTAAATCACATAATATCCTCTTTATCTCCAAATTGTCAATATCCTTGTTAATCAGTTAAATCAAACAACATCCTTTTAATTTCCAAATCCTTAATATCCCTGTTAACACCTAAATCAATCAAAATCCTCTTTATCTCAAAATTACCTGATATCCCTATTAATCTCCTAAATCACACAATATCCTCTAATCTTTTAATCTCCAAGTTCCCTGATACCTGTTAATCTCTTAATCTCCAAATTCCATTATATCCTTGTTAATCATCTAAATCAAACAAAATCTTCTTAATCTTTAAATTACGTGACATCCTTGTTAATCACCTAAATCACTGAGTTATCCTCTTAATCTCCAAATTCCTTAATATCCCTGTTAACCTCCTAAATCACACAATAATCTTATGAGCCTGAATCCCAATATTTTTATCTCTAAATTCCCTAATGTTACGACCTCACTTCGCCCATACACAACACCTAATATCTCAGTTCATCATTCTAATCACATCCTGTTGATCAAACAATATCCTTTTAATCCATTGAAATTGCTTTTGTTGATATCGTCTCTTTTCATATTTTCCAATATGGAATAAAAGTTCTTTGATGGTATGTTTACCTTGACATTTTTTTGCCATTTCCAATTTCCGACTTCCGATTGATAAAAATTAATACCTCATTATTATCCACATTAATTATTGATCTACTACAAATCTAACGATTTCTGGCTCAATTTTCCAATATCCCTGCAAATCCATCGATATACTCAAAATCCTTCTATATCCCTCCAAATCTATCGTAATTTCTGCAAAACCCCCTTATACCTCTTTATACTAACAAATCTATATTTAAAAATTATTACTTAATGAATTATTTTTTAATCACAGTACGCATACTAGCAAATCTTTATCGGTATTTACGGTTACGCTATTTATTGATATTACGGTACGTAATACAGTACTTGACAAAATTCTGGTCTAAATTTTAATCTCTCAATATCCCTCTTAATCCCCAAATATCTCTTGATTCACAAATTTCTTATCCCTTTAATCATCCGAATTTAACAAATATCATTCTAATCCATTCGATATCCCTCCAAATCCACTAATAAATTTTTAAAATCACATTTTTAGAAGTAGGCGGTTTCGTTAAGAAGCAGGGCGTTGGGATGGTAAAAAAAGGATTGAAAAAAACCATTGACACCCTTGAAACGGCGTGCATGGTCAAAACTGCTGGCCTCGGCACTCCGCTTTGTTCCCTGGCCGCCGATGGGTTGGGTCAACTGGCTGATTATGGTGTATCGCAGTTATGTAAGCTTGTGGACGTCGGAATTGATAAGGTGAAAGAAGTAGGCCAGAAGGCCTGGACGGGGATTAAAGACACCGTTTCTGGGTTATTTAGTTGGTAAATCCCCCACCCTCCCCCCTCTTCTCCTCTCAAATTTATATATTTTTTCAACCCCCCCCCCCCCCCCCAAATAAACATCCTATTTTTTAAAATTTATTTAAATATTTTTAATTAAAAAATCGAACCTCGTTTTTAACAAACCCCTTGGGGCTAAAAAATAGTAGGCCTTATAATGGGGTATATTTAAATAAAGAGGGTCAAATAAAACAACTTTAAAATTAAATTTATTTTCCAATTTTGTGTAGATTATAACGAGGTTCGACCTTCTTTAATTTATTTATTTAAGCTACTTTTTTAAGTTAAGCTTCTTTAAATTTAAGTTTTTTTTCAATCAGTGTATCCCAAATTTTATTTATTAATTTTCCAATTTTATTTATTTTACCCTTTTACCTTCCCTCCTTTTCTTAAAAAAAATAAAATTTTATTTTTTCAAAAATAAAATTCTTTATTTTTCAAAAATTCAAAAAAATCCAAAAAAAAATTTTATTTTTATTTTCTCGTCATTATAATTTTTTGAGATCGTTTTCTTAATTTTCTAATTAAGTCTAATTATTTTAATTATTATTTTATTCTTATTTACTTGTCATTTTATTCTTTTTAAAAATCTTTAAAAAACCCAAAAAAATTCATTTCATTTTTTGAGTTGATTTTCCATTATTTTATATTATTTTCTGTTTATTATCAATTTATTAATTTTCTTTTAAAATTTTTCAAAATTTTAAGTTAAATCAAATTTTATGTGATTTTCCTCTTTATTTATTTGTCATTTATTATTTTTCAAAAATCTTTAAAAAACCCAAAAAAATTCATTATATTTCCTTTAATTTGTGATTTTTCATTATTTATTAAGCGTTATCAATTTATTTATTATTTTATTTTAAATTTTCGAAAATTTAAGTTAAATCGAGTTTTATCTAATTATTTTATTTCCTTTGTTTTTTATTATTTATTTTAGTCACATATCCACTTAATATATATTTTTTATTCGTTTGCGAAAATAAAATTTTTATATTAAAAATCGAAATTTTATTTAATTAAGCCTTAGGATGACTTTAAAATTCTTTTAAAAATTAAAAAATTAAAAAAAAACTAAAAAAATTCAATTTTCTTGATGGATTTAAAAAAGTAACTAATTAGCAGATTAATTTTTTGATTAGATAATAATTATTAATAATTAGCCTTCCTCAAATAAATACTTTTACTTCTCAAAAATACCCTATTCTTATTAATTAGACTCTCCAGAAATTTAAAAATATAAAATAAATCCAAAGTTTTTCTTGTTGGATTTAAAAAAAAATGAAAAACCGAAAAAATAAAAAACGAATAGTTTTTAAGACAAAATTTAAACCCCTTAGTGAATTTAAACTAGAATTCTTTAAGCTACCTTTAAAAATCATACTTAGCAATACATACATAGCTGCCTTAAATAAATACTCTGCTTTTTCAAAAATTAGCACCCATCTCCTATTAATTACTTTCCTCAATAATTACCCGGGGTAATTATTTCAGGGCTTAATACAGTAGTTTTTAAAGTTCAAATAAGGGTTCTGGATCCGTTTTTCCGAAAACCTATTTTTACTGTGAATATGTTCTTGTTTAAGAGGAGGGAGATATGTTCTTGTCTTTTTTTATTTTTGAGGGATTTTCTGGGGTTAAGACGTCTTGAATCTTTTATGAAAAGCTTTTTAGTAATTTACACCCCTTTTTCATTTTGAGCAACTTTTTTGAAGTTGCTCAACCTCTTTAAAAATTTTTTAAAATTAAAATTTTTTACTGAAATAAAAAAATTTCTTTCAACTTAGAATTAAATTGAAAAATTTAAAAATTTTTTTAATTGTGTCAACTTTAATTTTTCTTTAAGAATTTCAATATTTCTATTCAAATTCTTCTATTGGGATAAAAAATATTAAAAAGGCTAATGAAATTCTTTAGAGAAACTTTAAATATCCAAAATAATTTAATTAAAAAATTCTAAAAAAATTTTTCGTTAAATTTTATGAGATTCTAATAAAAATTCTTTATATTAAAGAATCTAAGTAAAAAATTTAAATTAAAACTTTACCTAATTTTTAATTTTAATTTAATTTAAAAATTTTGCCAATCTTTAATAGTTATATCTTTTTATTTTGGAAAATTATTTTCTTGGATTTTTCAAATTAAAGACTCTGGAATTTATAAATTTAAAAAATTTTAATTTTTTTAAATCACAGAATTATAGTATATTCTAACTCATATCTCTCATAAGCTAAATAGTAGGGTTGTCTGTTAGTTGGAAATCCTTGGATATACGGATCTAGATCCGAAATCCGTACTACCCTACTAAATAAAATTTTTTTTCAGTTTTATCTTCTCGTTAACATGAGAAATTTTTATTATGATTTTTTAAAATCTGTCTAAAAAATTTTTTTTAATTTTTCAATTAAATTTTTTTTCTGGATATTTAAAGTTTCTCTGAATCATACAATAATTTATTTAATTAAAAAAAATTTATTTAAAAAATTTTGGTTTCAAATATTTTTTTCTGATTTTTATCGTTCAATTAGATTCCATAAATATCTATATATCAATTAATGACTAATATAAATTTCAAAAAAATTTTAAGCTTAATTAAAAATTAAATAAAATTTTAAAAGCAAACGAGTTAGCTGATTTTTCCGTTTGAATATTTTTTTATGATTAAAAAAGGAAAATGAAAATTAAAAAATTTTTTGTGATTAAATTGGGAGATAAAATTTAAAATGTTGGTAATTTTCTAGATTACTGGTTATGATCCCTACAAAAATACAGGAGAGTTCCTTCGATATTTTTGAGGTTTTCTGATGAATAAAAAGATTTTTTATTTTTTTCTCCAAAAAGCTATTTAATATTAAAATTTTAAATTCATTTCTCAATAATACCCTTTATTAAATAAATGATTAATTAACCAATTAAAAAATTTTCAGATTAACTTCAACCGGAAATATCCACAAATTTTTCTGCCTTTTTTATTTTTTATCGTTTTATTAATATTATTCATCAACAATTTTTTTACCAGCTGATCAGGCAAACAGATATCAAATTTAAAAATTTAAAAAAAAAGAGAAAATAAAAAATATATAAAATGTTAAAAACGCCTAACTGTACGAATCATTTAATAAATTTATTTAAAAATTTTTATTCAGTTTAATTAAATAAATTAATTTTATTTTAAGTTTAAACTCTCTCTCTTTCATAATTTTAATATAAAAATTTTTTTAATATAAAAATATTTTTAAATAAATATGTATTAAACATAGCAAACATGTAAATACCATGCAATACCAAATAAGGTTGGCGGATAGTTGGAAATCTTCGGATACCCGTATCCGGATCCAATATTCGCACCAAAAATTTCCGGATATCCGGCCTTTTTTCGGATCCGGATATCCGGATCTGCCAACCTTAATACCAAACCATGTAAATACCAAGAACCTGTATACTATTAGGCACACCAAGAATATTTTTCCAGCTAATTATAATAATAAAATAAAAAAAATTTATTCGATTTTTATTTTAGTAAAAATATTTCAAATTAATAAAATGTTTAATACAATTATTAAAATTTTATTAATCGTATTATTTGTGCTTGTTTATGGATATGGAGATGATAAGTTGGATTTTTCTATTTGA